AACTCACTCTGCAGACCAGCTGCCTCAAATCCACAGAGATCCACCTGCCCTTGCCTCCCAAATTCTGGGATTAAAGGCGTGTGCTGTTGCCACAGCGACCACCCAGTCTCATCATTATTCTTGTCTGTTTTTCTTTAGTAGATTTATTTTTCTGCCGCAGAATCCCTAAACAATAATAGCCTTCTGGGAATAATTTCAAACGGTGCTCGTTAGCCTGTCTAGTGGACTCCCAATGCCAAAATCCTAGAGGCTGAGGCAGGGGGATCTCCAGACAGAGCCAGCTGGGCTGTTGAAATAGGAGTGGTGGGGCTGCGTCCCCAGCACCCCCAGCCGCCTGGCTAGCTTATGCCCGAAATAACAACACACAAACTGTATTCTTTTAAACACTGCTTGCCCATTATATCCAGCCTCTTCTCGGCTAACTCTCGCACTTGGACTAGCCCATTTCTAATAATGTGTGTAAGCACCCCAAGGTGCGCTTACCAGGAAGATTCTAGCCTACATCCATCCTGGGTCTGAGCTGCCTGGGAGAGCGGAGCCTGGTGTCTCTGCTCCAGAGAGTCTGTCTGAGGAGTCTGACCTCACTTCCTCTTCCTCCTGTTTACTCCTCCCACCTATGTTTTAACCTATCAGGGCAAGCAGTTTCTTTATTTAATTAAAAAATGACACCTTCCTCCATCACTGGGCTACAGGGTAAGACTGCTTCAAAGGGTTTGTAAAATAAAAGGCATATCTCTGTTAATAGAATGCGTATTTGCAAACATGGATAGAGTCCTGAGTTTGATCCAGGCACTACATACACTTGGCTTTGACAAAAACCTGACATCTAAGCACTGGGGACCTAAAGTAAGAGCATCAGAAGCTCAAGAACCTCTTTGCTTATTTGGCAAGTTTCAGGCCAACCTGAGACACACGAGACCCTGTCTCAAAACAACTACAACAACCAAAGCAAAAAAGAGGATAACATGAATTTTTATTTTTATCATTTTAAGTTTTAAACTCTGTGTCTGCACCCATGGTCTGTGTCTGTGTCTGTGTGCTGGTTCGGGCACATGTTCGCAGGGCATCAGATTCCCTGGAGCTGGAGTTACAGACAATTGACAGCCACCTGATAATCTGAAACCTGAACTCAATTCTCTGCAAGAGCACTATGCCCTTGAAACCACTGGGCCACCTTTCCAGCCCCCAAATAGGCAAGTAAAAAAAAAAAATCACCCAAGTAGGTGTTTCTGAATAAGCAAAATAATGCATCTGCTCTTCTCAAGGCATGTAAGCATTGAGACAAAGAAACCACCATCTGTTGCTTTGTTTCTGGACTGATACCTCTGCCTTTCTAGTGGTTTCCTCTTGTCTTCTCTTTCCTTATACACTTTAGATATTTCAGTAGTAACTGTGGTTGTGGGGAGCTTAAGCCAACTTTTTGACAATGGGGCCTTAAGACTTACAAAGTCCTACGTGTGTCCTGCGTCTGTGCCACTAGAAACAGTCATAGATGATCGAAATGGCCAGTCGCTCCATTCCTCAGCAAATAACTCACACACCAGGGACTCTTGGGCGGTGGTGGACATAGCAGTACAGAGATGGCTTCTCCTGTGAAAACAGTGGCTGAGGCCTCAACAGACGTGAACGCAGCCTTCCTGAGTAGTGATAGGGTAACTAAAGGTCATGATGCTAGATGATGACCATCTTCACCTGAAGAGTCACAGGGCTTTCAAAGGGAAGGTGGGGCAGGGTCTTAGACCTGGAGGAAAACTGTAAACTCTATTGCAGCACTCTTACCTTGTATTTATACATGGGTACTGAGAATCTGTGTAAGATGAGCATGCACACATATACACGCGCGTGTTTGTGTGTGTGTGTGTGTGTGTGTGATGAAGAGAAGAGAGAGATTAAAGTTTATTGGCATAGCCACACAACTGTCCCACACAATGCCTGTGCAGGAATAGCATGGAAGGAAACCACTTGGCATTAAACAGTTCTTTGAACGTCTTAAATCACAGAGACTCTTTCTCAAGGAGAATGCCTTTGAGTAACACACAGATTGCACGCAAGGCGTGACTTCTCACAGTGCTGGTGCATCAGGGAGTCAGGTGGTGTGTTGTAATCAGGCTGCCTGTCCATCTCAGCCACCCTGTAGTTAAGACCCGAAATAACCACAAAGAAACTGTATTATTTAAATCACTGTTTGGCCCATTAGCTCTAGTTTCTTATTGGCTAACTCTTACATCTTAATTTAACCCATCTCCATTAATCTATGCATCACTACGAGGTCGTGGCCTACCAGCAAAGTTTCAGTATGTCTGTCTCCCGCAGCACCACCATGGCTTCTCTCTGACTCTGCCTTTCTTTCTCCCAGCAATCAGTTTAGTCCCCGTCCCCATGTCCATCCGTCCATCCCCCCACCTAGCTAAGTTCTGCGTTGTTATAGGTCCAAAGCAGTTTCTTTATTCATTCATGGTAATCACAGCATACAGAGGGGAATCCCACATCAGTGGTTGCCACCCTGCTCTGCCAGACCAGAGGGGGTACATCTTCTAGGATAAGACAGACTTTCTTCAGGGCACACACGGGTGACTGGGGTCCCTTGCTTGTACCTCAGCATGAAACAGTCCTTACTGTTCTGGAATGGGTGCACCAGAAAATCCAGGGAGCTGCCAAAACAGGCTCCTCTAATAAGTAGGCTTTCTGAAAAGGGGAAAAAGAAAGTTCATCCTTAAACAGTTTCGATGGGTCATAAAAATAAGGAACAAAGGAGCTATGAGGTGCCTAAAGCGAAAATGTCATTGATGTCTACTCAAAGGTGCCGGTCCCATATATACCAGACAGGAGCAGGTTTGTTTGCAAGTGTGACCCCAAACAGTGGTCTAATAAGATCATATCTTCTTTTATTATAAAAGAAGACATCTTCAGGTGAGTATTACATGTCAATAACTGAGGCAGAATCCATCTCTTTGTTTAACTTTTATCCCCAAGACAACATCGAAGTTCCAGATTGCACCCATGTTTTAGATAGCTCTAAGGAGACAAAGGAGACACCCACACTGAGAGCAGGGGTATTTGGGAGGCAGCTCTACAACGGACCAGCTTTGCAGTCTTGGCAACTTCCAGCTACTACTTACTGTTCGCTGACAACTCAGAGGTAATATTTGTTAGACATAAAGAATCCGATGGTCCCATGTGGGATAATAAGTCTCTAGAAAGGATAGTTCTCCTTTATTTTCCTATAAAGAGTTCCCTGTTACCGAGGCTCCGTTTTCCCTGAGATGCACTTGAGATATTCCTCCCCACCTTCCTCACTCATCCTCCAACCTAAGTCCATGGCTACATAGCAAGTTTGAGGCCAGCCTGGGCTACTTGAGCCAAACTGCTCTTCCCCAGCACTCCTGTTCCTAGGAGGCCACTGCAAAGGTCATTTGGGGTGACTCATCCAAACAAGCACTCCTTCCAAGCTGGACAGTGGAGAACCATACATGGCAAGGCTGCCTTAAAGTCGTGGTACAGCCTGTGATCCCAGGGGGCTGTGCTCTGCGAAGAGCAGCTGCTCGTGCCTGGAGAGGTGTAGCATCTGCGAGGGAGGGCATCCTCCAGCTTCCTTTTCTAACAAATCACTTGAAAACAGGCAGTTCTCCTGCAAGGACCCTCCCGTTGTCCCACAGAGGAGCGTCCACTGCCTTCCCCCTCCAGGCCATGTCCGAAGGACATGGTGAGAGCGAGTTCCTTCTCCTTTCTTCAGTTGCCTGGTCCTTACCCTGTGCTGCCCACCACCTAGAAGCCCAAGCCACAGGTCTGCTTATTCAGCACTGAGTGGTCTCTCCAGCCATCGCTACCTGAGTCAGCGTGTGCACAACGGTCACTTGACTCCATTTTTTTTTCTTTGTAAAAGGAAAAGGCAAAAAAAAAAAAAAAAAACAACAACTTTGTGGCTTAAAAGTAGAAGTGTCAAGATGGTGTTACAATTATAGCACCAAAGTCTGGAGAGATGCCTCAGACAGGGAAAGCATTAAAATATAGAAAGCTGGCTTACTAAAATAGCTTTATGGCACTGGTTTAAACAGTTTGGATTTCTCCCCTTTAAAGTTTATTTTACTTTTTCTTCTTTTGATTGTATCCAGTCATCTGAAAGAGAAGTGGTAAGGAGCCTTGTTAGTAGTGGAGGTAGGCGGAACATCAGTCTTCCACAAAGGCAACTGGAAGGAGGCCGTTCGGAGCCAGAATGTCTCTTATGTGGCTGCTTATTCTTCCTTCTGTGTGTGTGCTGAGGACCGGCCGAGGGGCCTTTGCTCATCGTGGGTAAGCACGCCGTCTCGGAGCTGCTCCACACCCCAGGCTTAAGGAGCAGAAATTATTAAATGGGCTATCAAAAGGACATTAGGAAAGAGGGCGACAGAGGGGACTTCAAGTGTGACGATTCAGAAAGCAGCTGTGTGCCCTATGAAGGTCTAACGCCCTGAGCTGAAGGCCAAGGCCATTTCCCTCACAGGCATGAAAACAAGGAAAAAGAAAATTAGGCAACCCCGAGTAACTGCACCGCAGAACTGTCACCCAGAGCCTTTCTTCACCACTGACAAACGTCAAGGGTATTTCTAAGTTAATTGGACACATCATGAGGCACGGCAGTCTCAAACGCTTACCCTTCGAAAGACTTGGGGTTGATGTCTTTGAGCCCGTGCCTTCATGGAGATCTTTAATCTTCAGGGGAAAAAAATGTGAGGTAAGCTGTATAGCAGTTCTGATTTTTACATTAGAGCAAAGGTTTCTGCTCAGGAAGATCGCTAATGGACGGCGCCTCAGTATCTTGAGGCGAGCAGCAGCCCGAAAACCTACCTGGCCAGCTACTCGGCCCGAGTGTGAAATGCAGAGAAGAGCTTGCCATGGTTTTCATTCTCTTTCCCTCACCCTCATTCACGAGTGCCACCCACCATGAAAAACGCACCTCTCCTCAAGGAGAGCGAGCAGAACGAGGCAGGGTCCTAGCACTGCTAGCCACTTCTTCTGACTTCGTATCGGCACCTGCTGCTCGTGTGTAGCATTTCCTGTTTCGTGAAAATATAGCCTTCCAAAAATTCTCTTTTTTGTCCTACGCCTACACCGCAAAGAGATAAAAGTCAGAAATTTTAGTTTAAAGTTCATTCTTTTAAGTTTATGTAACCAACATGCGAGCGCTGGTGTTATAGCTGTAGACAATTCAAGGTCGGGGGGGGGGATGCAGGATGAGGGAAGGCGCCACAGATAACTTAGGGATGCACCCTCAGTGAAAAATGAGTCTCTGAACCAAAGTGTCAGGCAGTTCAGTGAGCAAAACGGTAGCAGTATAAGGCCCCGGCTGAGGGCAGGTTTGCTATGCATGGTGTTGTTTGAGGTACCTGCAGGGCATCTATCACCCGATACAGAAACGCTCTGTGATAAAAACTACCTCAAAGGAAACCAGCAAATTTGTGTAAACAGAAAGACTTCCGCACGCTGAGAAATGGGAATGACAGGGCATTAAGACCTGGAGGAAAACCCATGCTGATTGTCTGTTTGCTCATTCATTTAGCAAAGATTCATTGCATATCTGTTTAGTACCCGATATTGGAAAGTCCTGCCATTACCAAGAAGGATAAAATAGTCTCTGCACTGTAACTCTTAGGTCCTATCGGAACAAATGCCTTCCATAGATACTTAACAGATGTACACCCATACGTGCGCCAAAGAACACTGCAGAAACTTAGTAATCGCTGTTCATGAAATTCCACATGGAAAACAATGGCAGCGGGAACCAGAGAGCACACAGCGAACACGTTTCAGTAACAGAAATCACACAGCTACCAGGCTGCGGCTGAATGCTGCCAACAGTGCCAATGTCAGGGCATCATTCTCCATTCTACATAACATTTAAACACGGCCCTTGAGCACAGAGCGTGGCTTTCCATGAAGATGAGGAGGAACAGGTTAGTGAGCAAGGGGGCTGCTGGGTACCGTTTTGATTTATGAGCTGAGTGGTAGGCACCCAGATGTGATTATAGGTGTCTCTCTGCTCGTGGGTCCTCATCAAGAAGAAATCAACAAGACTCCAAGGAAGAATCAGCGAGTTAGGCTTACCAGGGCAAAGGAAGATTATGATCAGGGAGATGAGAGGAATCCACAGGACCGGTCCCATCTACTCTTATTCAAAGCATCTTCATCTGCCCCTTTGGGCTGGAGGCCTTGAGATATGTTTCCCTACCCCAACATGTTCACTTGGAACATTTTGACCTAGAAAATATCTATTCCTTATCGAGATTGCTCCAGCCCTTGTTGTTGGTGCCTTGGCCGCTTGTCTCAAGCTTAGTCTTCTACCTAACAGGGTCAGGTGAAGATGGATGGATTCAGGCTCCCTCTCGGATCAACATTACCTAAGCCACTTTCCTCCTCTTCCCCTTTCATTTTTCCTTCTCTTTGTCCTTGCTGGCATGCCTCAGCTGTCATGTTGTCATTTCTCTGATACTCTGTCAACATTCCTAAGAAGCCCTTTTCTGGGAAGATGCAATCACCGGATTAACAGCACGCCTAATTAAAGTATCCCTAGTTCCTTCTCACTGGGATACAAAGCAGTTCTAGCTTTTCTGGTTGTCTCTCACAATTAGTCAAGAGTTTTCTGCACATTTGTTTGTTGTGGTTCTTTTCTAATTCCCGAGAATCCATCTTCTTTTTTTTTTTTTTTCTTTTTCGGGACAGGGTTTCTCTGTGGTTTTGGAGCCTGTCCTGGAACTAGCTCTTGTAGACCAGGCTAGACTCGAACTCACAGAGATCCGCCTGCCTCTGCCTCCCAAGTGCTGAGATTAAAGGCGTGTGCCACCACCACCCAGCAAGAATCCATCTTTTATATATAAAACAATTTGTTGTAGAAACTGGCTTAAACCGGCTCACTTTTACTGAGAAGGTCCCCTCCTGGGCCTGGTGGGTTGTTTCTGTTTGTTGCTGTTTAGAGATGGGTCTCATATAGCACAGGCTGGCCTCCATCTTACTATGTAGCTGAGGATGACCTCGAACTTTTCTGAGCCTCCTACCTCTACCTCCTGAGCACTGGAGATACAGGAATATGCCTCTATGCCCAGAGTTCTTGGGTACTGGAGATCAAACCAAGGCTTTGTGCAGACCAGGGGACCATTCTACTCACTGGGCTATGTCCCTTGCTCTCCTTTTGACGTTGAACTTGCTCCTCTATCTCCCGTGGTGGCTCATCCTACAGATTCTGCATTCAGTTTCAGGTTTAGCCACACATCCATGTCAAGCCTTAATCTGCCTTACTCTGTCTGTTTTCTTGCCACATCTCTTAGTTTTGTTTTTAGCTTCTATTCTATGTAGCACTTGACTTTGACAGTGGCTTCTTCCTCTATTAATGGTTACCAGATACATAATCAACAGCAAGAGCCTAAAGCTCCCAAGGCCTGAGTCCTGGACCCTTTCCATCCCAGAAAGTCTCTGGGAAAAGACTTCCTTTCTGATTCTTCCCATGCTCAGCATCTTTTGAATTTAGAGTCCTGCAGCTGTCTTGAAGATGGAAGACTGCGCCACTCTTCCCAGAAAGGGTGTCAGAAAACTCGCAGCCGGGGTGACACTGAGCCATTGCTACTACTGAAAATTCTGCCTACCATTCCTAGCACTTCAGAGTGTGGACCAACACTGGGTGCAAAGCCAACTGAAATCAACTCCGAGTAATTGACTGCCGTCCCATTAACTCTCTTACACGGTTTTGCAAGTCAGCTTGCCCTATTTTCATTGTGATGGTCTGAACGGCTATAGTAGCTCTTTACTATGAACATCCTTTCTTCCCCAAGACTAGCAAAAAAAAAAAAAGTTAATAATTGTTGAAGCTAGATAATCATGGACTTTGGTACAATGATCTCCCTTTTAAAATGAAATAATAAAACTGGAAAATCATTAATTCTTTCCTCGCGCCTGAGTCGGATATCCAGAAGATGCCGAGAGCTTGAGTTGGGTTGCTGTCACACTGACTGGGAGAGCTTAGAAGCTCTTTTGACTCGATGGCTCAAACAAGCTCCTGCCTCCCCTGGCGCACAAGACCACTGCATTTGATGCTATTTATTACAACTGAACCCTGTTCGTGTGGTATCTGCCTCCTCTCTGCGGAAGCCCATCTAGCATCAAAAGCCTCTGCATGCTGTATGTTCAAAGTAGCCGGCAATGGATAGAAAGCCGGGACTGTCCTAGATCAGGGGACCGTTGCATCGCCCAGAAACTGAGAGATGATTACAAGGCACCTACCTGTCTGAGCTCTGTATGGTCCTGCTAGAGGGAAGCAAAACACTCATCAGGAACACTTTTCTCAAATGAAAACGGACATTGTGCATGCAGCTGAGACCTTTGAAGAAAGATGAACACATTGAGAAAAAGGTCAAGAACCTTAAGTCCAGTGTGGAAAGGAGGTTTCTGTGCCACCTCGGAGATGGGGTGAATGCCAGAGAAGAGGCAGAATGACAGTCACTGACAGGGATCCTCTGCTTCCTGCCAGTGACTATTTCTTGGCTTTGGGGGTTTTCGTCTATATTCTTTTTTTTTTCTTTCTTTTTTTTTCTTTATTTATTTATTTATTAAATATTTCTGTCTCTTCCCCACCTCCGCCTCCCCTTTCCCTCCCCTCCCCCAATCCATTCCCCCTCCCTCGTCAGCCCAAAGAGCAATCAGGGCTCTCAGTCCCGTGGGAAGTCCAAGGAAAACCCTCCTCCGTCCAGGTCTCGTAAGGTGAGCATCCAAACAACCTAGGCTCCCACAAAGCCACTACATGCAGTAGGATCAAAAACCCATTGCCATTGTTCTTGATGTCTCAGTAGTCCTCATTGTCCGCTATGTTCAGTGAGACCGGTTTTAACCCAGGCTTTTTCAGACCCAGGTCAGCTGGCCTTGGTGAGTTCCCGATAGAGCATCTCCATTGTCTCAGTGTGTGGGTGCACCCCTCGCGGTCCTGAGTTCCTTGCTCATGTTCGCTCTCCTTCTGCTCCTGATTTGGACCTTGAGATTTCAGTCCAGTGCTCCAATGTGGGTCTCTGTCTCTGTCTCCTTTCATCGCTTGATGAAGGTTAATATGCAGGAGGATGCCTATATGTTTTTCTTTGGGTTCTCCTTATTTAGCTTCTCTAAGAATCGTCTATATTCTTTTTGAGTGTTTTTAACTCCTATCTTTATTTTATCTTTTTGTATGTATGTGGCATGCATGTTTGCATGTCCATATGGGTTCAGGCTGCACATACATGTGTGCATATGCATGCATGCATATGTGTGTATGGAAGTCAGAGGTCAGGATCGGGTGGCTTATTTTTGAAGGCAGGGTCTTTTTGTGAACTCAGTGCTCATTGATTGGCTAGACTGTCTGGCCAATGAGCTCTAGGGATATGCTTGTCTTGGCCACTGCCCCCAACCTAGGGTCACAGACACATAAGACCCTTTGCAGCCTTTTTTTTTTTTTTAAATGTGGGTGCTGCGGAATCTGAACTCAGGTCCTGGCGCTTATGCAGCAAACGCATTATCAATCGAGCTACCCAACTCCTAACTCTCAGTTCCATAAAGACCGTATTCTGCTCACACTCTCTTCAAAATGATGCACCTTCCTACTGACTAAGTCTGAGGCAAACCTTCTCCAGAATGTCAGAGAGCATTTCAGAACCAAGTTCAACTTCCGAATGTCGAGCTTTTAATTGCACTGGAACATGTCAGCCACAAGGAAATGATATACCAAATGCAGAACGGGTCCACTTCTAGAGAAACAAGTCCATTTCCATACCAAATTGGTATGCAAAACCAGAAAGGTCAAGTGAGGTGGAGGCTATCACAGAATAGAAGAGACTTAAAAACACAAGGAACCAATCCTGGACCCCAGATTTAAGCCAGCTGACTGCCTGCTCTTCTACAAAAGGCACGATGCATTTCCCATTGGTTAGTTGGAGTCACGCAATAGCACGAAAGCGAGTGTCGAGCCACGTAAGTCACACTGTCATTTTAAATGAAGTGGGAAGTGTGGCTAGCTTTGGTGTGCACTTAACTATTCGCTCTGCACTTTGGGATGGAGAGATCCTGAACAAGAAAACGGTTTCTTGCACGTTAGAT